TTAAGCGTTCGGGATCGGGTTACGTTACGCGCTAGGGTTAGGTTTAGCGTTAGGTTAAGGGTTAGGTTTAGCGTTAGGTTTAGGGTTAGGTTAATGGTTAGGTTTAGGGTTAGGTTTAGGGTTAGGTTTGGGGGGGGTTAGGGTAAGGTTTTAGGGTTAGGTTTAGGGTTAGGTTTAGGGTTAGGTTAAGGGTTAGGCTTAGGGTTAGCTTTAGGGTTAGGTTTGGGGGGGGTTAGGGTAAGGTTTTCGCGTTAATTTTAAGTTTACCGCTCACAGCATGCTGTTTTTGTCGCACTGTGATGATGTCACGTACGCGCTTTCGTCGAGCGCGCTTTAGTCTACCGCGGTTTTGTGGTGGAACCACGCATGCATGTGGCAGTAACCAGAAGTACATTTTCTGGCACGCGCATGCCCCTGGGCAGCTCCACTTCCGGGTTGTGACCCTGATGAGCATGCGTGTCCTCACTCGGTGCCAAAAAGGCTCGCCATCACTGGGGTAAGGTTTCCTGCTTGAGCAGGGGATTGGACTAGAAGACCTCCAAGGTCCCTTCCAACTCTGTTATTCTGTTAACTTCAAGACAATGTTCTTTTAGACTTCTTTTCATTTCTATTAAGATACAGAAAAAAGAGGGTGGGGAAGGTTCATAAATAGACAAAAGAAATAAAGAATTAAAACACACATGAACATAAACAAACACCACAGATTTAAACAAAGCAATGAAATTTTACATCCATCCAAGACTATATAACTCTCAAAAAGAGAAACAATCCAAAACGGTTTCCCCTCTCATTTTCATTTTCTAAAATATATTTATAGTTATTAAACCTATGGCATCATTTTAAAAACATTGTAATGAGTATGACCAAATGCATAAATAAAACCTATCAGGATGCAAAGGGGGGAATTTTTTTTTGAATTCCTATAAACATATTTTACTGACATCTACGTAATATAGACACCTATGAATATGCCTGTGTACATATGCACATGTTTGAAGTCACTTGTTCTCATCCTTTTGTTTCCGTGTCTTTTAAATCATCATCTACTTGAAGGACACAAAACCCCGAGTTGTTAAGACAGCCAAATTCCTGAATCAAGTGCTCACAAGTTAAATTTCGGAACCATTATTTCCAGCAATAGTTTAGAAGTATGAGTACGAAATAAAGACAGAGTAGAGCAGGTTAGTAAAGAAACATCCTATCAGATAGGAAATCCAGAAAAGCCAATGAAGTCCTAGGCTGCATTCACAGAGGGATAGTATCGAGATCATGTGAGGTGTCAGTATCACTTTATAGTCCACTTATAAAATCACACTTGGAATACTGCATCCTGTTATGGTCGGCACAATAGAAAAAAGATGTTGAGAAGCTAAAAAGAGTGCAGAGAAGAGCAAGAAAGAAGATTAGGGGACTAGAGGCTAAACCATATGAGGAATGGTTGTGAGAACTGGGTATGTCCAGTCCAACGAAGAGAAGGATTAAGGGTGAGGTGATTTAAGTCTTTCAATATTTGAAATGTTATACAAAGAAGAGAGGGTTGATTTATTCTCCAAAGAAGGACAAGACAAGAAGGAGCTTATCAAAGAGAGATCTAACCTAGAATTAAGGAGAAATTTCCTGTCCATGAGAACAATTAATCAATAGAATGGCTTGTCTCCAGAAGTTGCTGCATCACTGATATTTTTAGAAAAGAGACTGAAAAGCCATTTATCTGGAATGATATAGGAACTCCTGCTCAAGGAAGGGATTAAAGTAGAAGACCTCCAAGATTCCTTCCAAGTCTTATTTTGTATTCTACTAATTAACAGGAATACAGCATAATAATAAAGTGAAACTTAACTTCATATTATTTTCCGTTCATTAAGTTTTTCTTTATACAGATTCTATTACTTGAGCGACAAGCTCTTAGCCAAAGTACGAATTAGATGCATAAAATAAGAATGTTTTAATAAAGACGCCCACTGCAGACAAATTATAGATCTCTTAAGGACTCTTTATTTTCGCTGTCAACACAAACAGATGCAAAATTATGGCCGTGAAACCATCCCAGATAATTCATGAAGGAACTTATAGATACTTCAAAATGACAGTCACATTAATTTGTCATGAAGATGATTAAAAAAAAACAATTTGAATTTGCATTTGTATTCAGACAACTGCTTTGGTAAAACAGTTGAATTCTTGTAAACATCAGTAAAAAAACATCACTGTGAAATGATTTCAACTAGGGTAGCTATTTCATTTTAAGTATACGATCTGCAGCTATCATAGAATTTTTACGCTTCCCCCCCTCTTTTGATGGCACAGAATTCCCGTGTATGTGTCCACCATGAAAACAAACATGTGGCTCTCTTCATTATCACTTTAAGTAGAAACTTTAAAAGGCCAGCACATTCATTAGTCATAAATGAAACCGATGATAAAGTGAAGATCTTCAGCTCAGTGTGTAGTAGCCTCTCAAGGCTCCTGATTACAGTATACATCCATCACCACATGTGAGAGATTAGAATAGCTGAGAAAGGAGCGGGAGGGAGAGGAGACATAAACAATCAAGGTACGGAGTTTGAATTTATTGGTAGCAAACCGGCCACGGTGATAAGAAAGCTGGAAGAAGCACTTCAATGAGTCTCTGTCATAACAACTCATAATGAGTTACAGTTTGCAGGATTCTGTATACAACTCCAGATCAGCATTAGCACTAACTTAAAACTCTGTAGGTTTTGCATCCTTGAATGCTAGATCCACTTTTTAGACCAGGGATGTCAAACTCAAGTCACTTAGATATGTATAGCTTGTGGGGCCGGTCAGGAAACAGCAAAAGACAGGCTTGCGGTGCCTCTGACATCGGAAATGAAGCTTGGCCACATGCAGCCCCCCACCCCCACCCCCGCAGCCCATTTTTGCTGGCAGAGGGCTATCAAAGCAAGCTAAAAACAAAACAAAAGGAGAAATGTTTCCCCTTTTGTGTTTGAGCCTGCAAGAAGGGACAGGAAAAAAGAAAGAGAAAGGAAAGACAAAGAAAAAGAAGGAAAGATGGGAAGAGAGCAAGGGAAAAATAGGGAAAGGGGAAGGAAGAAGAAAGGGGAAGGAAAAGGGAAGGAAAAAGAAGAAGAGGGAGGGAGAGAGGGAGGGAGGAAGGGAAGGAAGGAGGGAAGGAAGGAAGATTATAATGAGAGTGAGGATCCCAGGGAAGTCCTGCCTTAGCATTTGGACGCCACAGGTGCCATCACATGAGTACTGTGTCACGTCGACCATGGCCACGCCCCTGGCCACACCTACCATGGTCACATACCCCCGCCTCTGCTCCCAGCCTTCCGAGATCAAACACAACCCTGATGCGGCCCTCAATGAAATCATGTTTAACACCCCTATTCTAGACCCTATTGTGAAAGTTTACTTCGGATGGGTAACTTCTATCTTCTACCAGAAACTGGCCACTACACATTTTAGGTGTCTCTAGCTTCCATTTGGAACACACTAAGAAGTCCATTGTTTCTAGCGATACCTAGAATATACAAATCATTCAGACTCATCAGATAAGTACACAGGCAATTGATTTAAGGCTGGCATTTCTCAAGATGCAAATATATAGCATTAAACAGATCAAAAGGACTGGAATGTTCCTTAGGATCAATGCACAACAGTATGAAATAAATCGACAGCACAACCCAATGTTATTGCTTGTTACCTACAGTTC